ATTATTATTATTATTATGTTATGTATATCTTGTCATGATTTCTATTGGGTTGACAACTAAGTAATCGCCGATTTCAGTTATAGATGTCACTCTCTCACTCCCATTTTTATGATATCCGTAAATATTATATTATAAAATTATTATTATTATTATGTTATTTTTTATTATCCGTGAATGTTAGCAACTGGACAAATTGAATGCAGCGGTCAAGGAAAAGCGACCAGAATTGGTCAATCGTAAAGGTGTCATTTTCCAGCAGGACAATGCTAGGCCGCACACGTCTTTGTCCGCTCGGCAAAAATTGATGGATATTGGTTGGGAATTGATGTTACACCCACCATATAGCCCTGATCTCGCACCATCGGATCACCACTTATTTCGATTCCTGGACAACTCCCTTCGTGGTAAAACTTTTAATGACGACGACGCTGTAAAATCTCGCTTAACTCAGTTTTTGGCCGAAAAGGATCAGACTTTCTACGAGCGTGGAATTTTCAAGTTGTCGGAGAGATGGCAAAAGGTCATCGAACAAAATGGAAAATACATTACAGATTAAACTTCGTTCCAAGTAAAACAAAATTTTTTATTTCATTGAACAAATCGGCAATTACTTAGTTGCCAACCCAATAGTATTACACGACCAGAAAACTTCGCACTGAAATTCACAGTCTATAGCGCCGAAGTTTATGTTTTCGTGTCTATCGCTTTGGTTCCAACTTTCGTCTTATGTTAGGTAACTAATGTGATCAATTATTCCAGAATTCTATAGGTCTTATACGTAGACTTATTCAATGAAATGTTTAGCATCGAAGAAACGTAGAGTTGACCATTTCTCTACTTCTGAGTATCGACTGAACTTTGTCGAGCAGCTAACGTGAAAAGTTCCCTCATTATGTGCATTGGGCGCGACCGAAATAACGACAGAAAAATGTATTGTAGAATAATGAAATATTAGGACAAATATTGTTTTACTCGTCCATTACTATTTTACTCATTACCAGTCCTCGGAATTAGAGTATTCTTGCGCCAAGTAGAAACAGTGTGCAGTAGTCAGACGATCCCATTAGATATCCAGGTTTTCAGATCGAGGACTTTCGAGATAAAATTGTCCGAGTTTACTTAACATAAATAAATCTTTCGTCTCGCTTGTTCAGCGATTTCTAAGCCATATCCTATTCACACTCGGATCAGAGTTGTCCCTTCGCCGACAGCTGGAGACGTCAGCCGCCGACAATGATTTCGTTAGGCCGCGGCGAGAGTGTTCGCGAGTCGCAAACTCGCGCGTTTATGCGGCGAGATTCTCGACGCCGCCTCTCGCAAAATCTGGAGCAAGGGTTTATCAACGCTTGCGTAATCTCTGGCAGATTTTGCTCGACCCTTTCGTTGCGACATCGATGCCAGACTTCGAGAGTTATCCATGCTTGTGGCTCGGTTCCATCTTTCAGGCTCCTGAAAAATAGGAAGATCGTTCAAATACGATTTTTATTTTGTATCTTAAAATATTCAAGAGCATTACCATTTTTATTCTTTTCTTTAACTTCCGCATTGAAAAATATACATATATATTGAATGGTATTGCACAATACTGCATATACACATTATGTATCGCATAATTCGTTAATGTTCGTAGCGACCACCTTGATGATTATTATGTTAAAAATTAAAAATGCGACTCTCCCGACCACGAGAACAACATAATATAATGATTAAACACACATTTTACAATGAGGTGAATGCTGTACGATAAATATTTCTCAATGAGAAAATTAATCAAATAAAAACAGTAGTATTCCTCAATATTTGTTAACAGGTAAATAACAAAATATAATAACATAATCAGAATCGTTAATGCTCTGTATATTTTTCTCGACATTTTGTGTAGCCCATGAGATAATATTACAAAAGACCAATTAATTAAAATTATATTTTTCTATTTCACCTTCGGATAACATTAGAGAAAAGTTACGTTACTTATGGTGCAATGTTTAACACGCACACGCGCACACACACCTTGCTGAATAAAAATTATGCTATCGATCAGTTAATAATTCCTATCTGCCGCACGTATCTCCGATACGAGCGAAGAAAATAATACTTATGTAAACCGTGTAACATACACGTGGCAGTCAACGTGTTAAAGCCCTACTTTTGCGGGAACTGGTTGGTCCGAGTATAACCCCTATAGTCTAACCGCGCTATAGTCTAATCAACGAACGGAGTCGGTGCAGGTAAACAAAACATCGGCGTGCTAAGCACGTGATAGATTCAGCGGCGGTAGCTATTGGTTCTGTCCGACTAATCCGACCTTGTTCCACCTAAATGCTCCGACCAAAATGCTCCCACGAAAGTGTTCATCTCCGTGCATTTGTTTACAACCACTGACTCGACTTACCGTCGTACCGTAGTTGCTATTAAATTGCACCTACCATCAGGAGGTCTAAGCTGACGCCTCGGTAGAGCACTATAGAGCAACCATAAGCGCGCTTTTCTTCGCCTAATGAAATTTCCCTTCCGATCTACGGAACTGGCGACAAACAGAAATCCAAATTATCACGTGACGGAAAATCATATGCACTCGATAAAAAAGTGAATATTGTTCTTACTTTTGACACGTCGCGTGGTCTTCAATTTTACTTCGTTTCTCTTCAATTTTACTTGAATTCGATGCATACAAAGGATGAGCATATTTAGTAAATCCTGTTTGAGAAAAGTTTATAATTACATTGCGGGTTTTTGTGGAAAATAAACATTGACTGTATTAATTGTAAGAGACAGTAGCCAGTTAGAAGCTTTATCGTTTCTTCGCGGATCTTGGTAACTTGATAATAATCCTGAGACATTCTCAAATTCCTTGAATATTTCATTATATATTATATATAATATAAATTACATAATTATGGAACACCCTGTAGAACGGTAGAAATATTCAAGGAATTTGAGAATNCCTGAAATCATTTGAAATCACTTTAAAAATAATAATCCTGAGACATTCTCAAATTCCTTGAATATTTCTACCGTTCTACAGGGTGTTCCATAATTATGTAATTTATATTATATATAATTACATAATTATGGAACACCCTGTAGAACGGTAGAAATAATCAAGGAATTTGAGAATGTCTCAGGATTATTATTTTTAAAGTGATTTCAAATGATTTCAGGAATCATCCCTTTCCGAGTGTTAACATAATTTTACCCTTTATATTTCTTCTACTCACTTTTGTTATAAATGCATAAAATGCGCAATCTAGTAAAAATAACACGGCAATGAAACGATGTTATAGGGTAAGTCACAAAGGCACTAACATTATTAATACATTTGTACGATGTTCCAAAACTGTCTAAAATAATCTCTTTCGACGACACCCGATAAACTATGTCAAATAATTTGTGTAATATGTGCAATTCACTTTTGGTCCAAGTTGGTAGTCGCACGTGTGTGACATTCTTCTTCTTAGACAGACAGGGCCAGCTAGATAGTATATACAGGGTGTCCCAAAAATGTCTCGCAACCCGAAAGTGGCGGGTTCCTCGGGTCATTCAAGCAACTTTTTCGTTTACAAAAATGTTCTCCGAGGCACCGTTAACGAGTTATTAACGAGAAACAGTGACCAATGAGAGGCGAGCTCGGCTGGCGCGAGGCGACCGAGCCAATGAGCGGAACTGGGCTTCGCGCGCTGACTGGCTGGGCCGCCGCGCGTCAGCCGTACTCGATTCTTATTGGTCACTGTTTTTCGTTGATAACTCGTTAACGGTGCCTCGGAGAAAATTTTTGTAAAGGAAGAAGTTGCTTCAAATGATCCGAGGAACCCGCCATTTCCGGATTGCGAGACATTTTCGGGACACCCTGTACAAATAGTCCTCTATTGAGATCAGGACAGCTTCTCTTCGTTGGCTTCTCTTTCCTAGCTGGTTACAGAGCTAGCAGAGTGTTAGTTACACTATCAGAGTCTCCTGAAAGGATTAAGAACACAATAGCGTAATTGTTTTCAAATTGGCTACGTAAATTAACATGTTCACAGACATCTTTCAGAAATCTGTCAGAACAGATCTTTGAAAAATGCGGTAAGAATGGACCCGGGCCTGCTCATATGGATGATGATCCGGAGTAGGAGACTAATAATAAGTGTTGAGACTGCAGCTAACACTGTTCTCGTTGTGTTGACAGAGACCAGCGTGTTGCAATTCTTCGGTGACGATTTCCTACGGCTGTTGCTGGTGCGCTACGTGTTCTGCGACGTGGTGCTGAACCTGCACCGGTCGTTCAGGGGTCGACAGCAGAGACCCCGGTGCCATCCACCGCTACCCGACGCGGAGGTGCTCGAGCACCCGACGCTCCATCACCTGGTGCTCGACCTGGCCGCGTGTCTCGACTGCCGCGACCACTTCCCGGACAGCAACGAGCTCGCCTGACCCCGGCATCTTCCCTGCCCGGCCACCGAGTCGACGTCCCTGCTGCCGCCGTACGACTACGATTACGATTACTGTAACTATAATTGCAAAAATAGAATCGTTACACTGAGACCTCATTAAAAGAAAAGAAAAAGAAACAAAAAAAGAGAACAAGATCCGCAACGTCTAACGGCGAGTAATCCGCGTGCTCGACGAAACCGAGAACAAGAGAGAAAGAGAGTGAGAGAGAGAGAGAGAGTGTGTGTGCGCGTGTGTGTGTATGTATACGAGTGTGTGTGTGAGAGAGAGAGAGAACGCAAGAAAAACAAAAGAGAGGAAAACACATAAAAAGGAACTGTCGCTCGATCGAACGCCGCGGGCTTCGACGTACACGTACACGCTTGCACGCGCGTGGCCCCGGGTGCAACGTTGAATTTCCGGCGTCACGTCTATAATGTAGGTGGATCGTCGATTGAGCGAATGCGGAAGTTCTGTTTGCCGGTGATCCGTGTAGGAAACACTTCGCGGTGTTTCATTTGGTAGTCCAATGGTGACGTTTTTACCCTCTTCGGGGACGGTACCCTTTGTGTCCTGAATTATGCCATTTTTCGTTCTCGCCGAGTTCGTTTTAGACACTTTGATGTTTGCTGGGAAACGTGCCTGCAACATATGCAAACGGTTTTATATCGTTAATGCACACGTTTTTATTTCAGTCCCTTTTTCTCGGTTTTCTCTGTGCAATTACGTGATAAGCTTGTTGTGAGCTAATCTTATGATGAGAAAACTGCATTTGCTTTAAAGATTATAGAAACTGTACCACTTATAATCGGACTGCCTAGTTATCTTCTTCAGTTGCTTCGTTATTTGTCAAGGGTTGTAATTTGTAATTTTTTAAGGTCATTCCTTAATCTTTCTTTCGAGGTAATTCACGATGTCTTATTTATATACATATTATTGATTTTTATATATTATTATTATTATTATTTTATTATCATTATATATATTATATATTATTATATTATTATAATAATATAATACTAATTAATATATAATAATAATAATATATATATATACTATTATATTATTATTATATTTTTATTATATATGTATATATATAATAAAATAATATATAAAAAATAATATAATAATTTTAGTGATATCATACAATAGAGGAAATTATATTCAATATATATATATATATATTGAATATAATTATATTATATTGTAATTATATATTATTATATATTATATTATATTATATCTGTCTCTTATACACATCTAGATGTGTATAAGAGACAGATATAATATAATATAATATATAATAATATATAATTACAATATAATATAATTATATTCAATATATATATATATATATTGAATATAATTATATTATATTGTAATTATATATTATTATATATTATATTATATTATATCTGTCTCTTATACACATCTAGATGTGTATAAGAGACAGATATAATATAATATAATATATAATAATATATAATTACAATATAATATAATTATATTCAATATATATATATATATATTGAATATAATTATATTATATTGTAATTATATATTATTATATATTATATTATATTATATCTGTCTCTTATACACATCTAGATGTGTATAAGAGACAGATATAATATAATATAATATATAATAATATATAATTACAATATAATATAATTATATTCAATATATATATATATATATTGAATATAATTATATTATATTGTAATTATATATTATTATATATTATATTATATTATATCTGTCTCTTATACACATCTAGATGTGTATAAGAGACAGATATAATATAATATAATATATAATAATATATAATTACAATATAATATAATTATATTCAATATATATATATATATATTGAATATAATTATATTATATTGTAATTATATATTATTATATATTATATTATATTATATCTGTCTCTTATACACATCTAGATGTGTATAAGAGACAGATATAATATAATATAATATATAATAATATATAATTACAATATAATATAATTATATTCAATATATATATATATATATTGAATATAATTTCCTCTATTGTATGATATCACTAAAATTATTGTTCACTCATTGATTGCAATAGCATGACCCCAAATCGATCTAAAATTTTGGATCTAAGATTTTTAAATGGCCGAGGATCTTATTTTGCATAGGATTTCAAATTCCAGAACCAGCTTCTGCGTGATTATCATTATAACTAGGTGGTCTGGTTTTGGTGAAACACCCTGTATATCGTTGAGAGAACAATGCTATCTAAATTCTGTTTAAAATCCTCGTCACGATATCATAAGGACAGGGGTTGAAAATTTAAAAATATCTAACCACATTTAGTTCTCCGCAACATTTCAATGGCATTTCATAATAATTCCAGGTCACGAAGGGTCAATCGTCGTTTCACTAGACGCAGTATCTGCTAATTAATTAATTTGGGCCGAAATATTCCAGCTTAACTTCTCACGTTCTTCTTAATTAATAGATATTTATCAAGATACTCTTAGTTGCAATAATTTGACATACCGTACATTCAATATTAGATATTAGAGTTCTAATGTTGCGTGCGTGGACAATGTCTATTTTGTTCAATTCGTATATATATATATATATTTATATTGTATAAAGTGTAAATAACTGAAACGATCTATCTGTTTCTTAAAATTTCGTTCACGAAGAGGTTGATAACGTGGTAGTAAACGCTAAAACGTCACGCAAAGATCAAGTAACGGAATCGAATGATTTGGTGGAATGAACACTCGATATTGAATGACTAATCTGAGTGAAGAGCTTTTTTTCAAAATCACATTTACAGTTTTTCAACGACTATAATATTATTCTTTCGGGTGTTACAACTCTTCTTACACTGAAGCATGAAATAATTTGCTGAATTATATTCGAAGAATGAAAATGTTTCAAAACGTTTCTAAATCCATTTTTACATACTTTAACATAATTCTCAAGTTATCACTCCACTATACGCTCTATGCGTTTAAGATAAGAATAATTAAATGATGCATAGAACACTACAGAAAAATTAAGAATTACAAGATATATGTACATTATTTTTGCAATGAATGAGAATGATTAAAGCAGGAGAAAACTTTCTATTCGTTACGATTAATACCGAAAGCGTTTATTTCAGTTCTAATTTCAAATTTTAATGTTGTCATAACGAACATAGAAAAACATAGAATTACAAGATGCATGTACATTATTCTTACAACTCACTAGAATGATTAAAGCAAGAGAAAATTTTCTATTCGTTACGATTAATACCGAAAGCGTTTATATCAGTTCTAATTCCAAATTTTAATGTTGTCATAACGAACATAGAAAAACGTAGAATTTCAAGATGTATGTACATTATTTTTACAACTCACTAGAATGATTAAAGCAAGAGAAAACTTTCTATTCGTTACGATTAATACCGAAAGCGTTTATTTCAGTTCTAATTCCAAATTTTAATGTTGTCATAACGAACATAGAAAAACGTAGAATTTCAAGATGTATGTACATTATTTTTACAACTCACTAGAATGATTAAAGCAAGAGAAAACTTTCTATTCGTTACGATTAATACCGAAAGCGTTTATTTCAGTTCTAATTCCAAATTTTAATGTTGTCATAACGAACATAGAAAAACGTAGAATTTCAAGATGTATGTACATTATTTTTACAACTCACTAGAATGATTAAAGCAAGAGAAAACTTTCTATTCGTTACGATTAATACCGAAAGCGTTTATTTCAGTTCTAATTCCAAATTTTAATGTTGTCATAACGAACATAGAAAAACGTAGAATTTCAAGATGTATGTACATTATTTTTACAACTCACTAGAATGATTAAAGCAGGAGAAAACTTTCTATTCGTTACGATTAATACCGAAAGCGTTTATTTCAGTTCTAATTCCAAATTTTAACGCTGTCACAACGAACATCGATAGATAGTTGAAAAATCGTAAACTGAACAGTTTCGAGTAGAGCCACGATGTCTCGAAGGATTGGAAAAAAAAGATCGGGAAATCGAAGATCTCGCTTCGGAAAGAATCATATCGAACTATAGCGCTCCTCCATATCAAATAACTTCTAAGAAACAGAACTTTCGCGGTGTTCAGGCTC